CATAGTGTACCAGTATTCCAGGGCCTCTCACTAGTGTCTAATCCATGGAGGGGTAAGGAAGGTCAAACGCATGCAGCCACACCTCTGCAATAACAGAAGTTTTGTTCCATAAGATCCTTAATTGTAAAGACTTTCAAACTAGGTGAGAAGCAGTTGTCAGTTAGTATGGTGACTTGTTCCTCTTTATGAAAATTTAAGGAATACTATGAGGACTCAGTGATGAGAGGGACTTAAAAACAGGTTTTTTCTTTCAATAATGAAATTATGTGGGCTATTAAATTAAATCCCCCCCCCCCCCCCCCAACAAAAAAAAGTTACAAAAAAAAATGATAGCTTCTATTGTAGCATTCTCCTTACTTAAAAATTTAAAATGTATCCCCTGAGCTTTTTGTTTGGGTGGTCTCATGAAGCCATGTGATATTAATGGGGCCAATTTAGATGTGCCTCTTAAATGACATTTTAATACAATTCTCAACCAAATCAGGGGGAGGAGCTCTGGTGGTTTTTTTTATACGTCAGCAATATTGATGACTGTATGGTATTAAAGGTCTTGTATTCTAAGCTGAACTTGGCATCTGTTGCATACTTGAATGTTAGTGATGTTACTGTGATCAATGGCTGTTATTTGGACTGGAGTTAAGACTTGTAAGGTGCAATGACTGCGATCATTTTTATATAACATTGATTCAGTTTTTTGATTCATAAAATCTTTAACTTTGTTTTATTTGCTTAATCCAATAATCGCCCTCATCCCCACAATCTCATGTCTTGTTTCATTTGGTACTGCAGTGAGCTTCCTTGCAGATCTTGGTGGTCTTTACTGCATAAGTATTGGGATTTTCTTCTACCTTTTGTTGCAAGTATGTATTTTCTAAGTAATGATTTTGTTTAAATGTTGTCTATAACTTGCCAATGTATCACTGGAAACGACACTGCATTGAAAATCACAACACAATTTTTGAGGCTGTTGCGTGTTCTCATATAGTTTATGTGCATGGATTATATTGTGTGTATTGTGATGCCTGTAAATAGGCCTTCAATCTGTATGTCTTCTGTACTTTGTCATTATACTATCCTATATTATATGGGTAGCTTCATTGTTATTATAATATTATAGTGCAAAGGTTGTTCTACTTCCAGCAGATTTTGGTTTACGATCAAGTTGACTCTTTTCCTCTAAAATTGGATACTTGCATGTCTTGTATCACATGGAAAGTCAGCTCGAACCTTAAAAATCTTCTTTGGCAATTGGTTCTTCGCTGGTTTCTTGTTGTAGGTTTTTTTGGGAGGAAACTAGTTATGCTCCTGTCCCTAGTAAAGGGAAAATTTGTAGTTTTCATTCTACCTGTCCACGCTACTCTTTTGAGATGCTTTTTTTTTTTTTTACTTATCTGTTCAATTTGGTTCTCTAATCCACCTTTTTGCTTCCTGATGAACTTCATTTCATGACTTGTAGTGTGAATATAGAATCAAAAGACTACGTAATGAAGATCAGGTTTTCAGGAATATCAGAAGTCGACGTAAAGCTCAGGATCATTGGGATAAGGTACTGTTCTATTATTCCATGCATGGTAGTAATTGTGGTTTGCCTTTTTCCTTTTGAATCGAGTTCTGATGAGTCACTCTGTTTAACCTTGCATCCAGTTGAGGAAGTATGTAATGTATACATGGGGTCCTAGCTCATTACTTGAAGAGAATTATAACTTTAGCAGTAACGGATGTTGTGATTGTGCTGGGGGTGCCTCGCATAGAAAAGGTGAATCCTTACACAAAAGGAGTCGTCATGAAAGTAGTTTGCGTGCCATTAGTTTTGACAAGAAAGATAGTTCGCGTAAGGGAATGGTAAGCCTCTCTCTTATGGACTTCGTATTTGGTCTACATACGCTGCAGGTCTGCACTAAATTATGTTGTTCAAAGCTCTGCATTTTTGGATTTTACTTGAAAAGAGAAATGTTCACTTTACAAATCCCCTTTTAAAGTGTCGCAAGACTCCTAAGTCATAAACCTATGAAGCAATGGTATGTTTGCAACTTAGGGCAAGAGATTCCAACTGTCTTGCACCGATTCTTTGTTTTGGTCACCTAATAATTTGTGGAATTATTAGTTTCCTTTCTCCTTCACGAGACAGTCTGTTTAGCTGCCTTGAAAACCTAATTTTTAAAATAAGCATTTACTTGTGTTTCTGTCCTGCATTTGAGCTGATCTAGATTCAGATTGTGAGGTTTTGCATGTGTGTGCTTTGGTAAAAAGAACTTTTAACAAGTGTTGCATTCTTGCATCCATCTTTTGATGTATAGATTTACTTTTACAATTTTCACATTATTTTGGCTGCATGATTAGTGACTTGTGTTGTTTAACTAGGCTGGAAAACATTTGTCAGAACCTACAAAAAGCTTGAAAGATGTTAATATTCCTCCTCCACCAACTTTACCTGGTAAGTTAATGCTGATGATCACTTTGCTTCTTATTTGCTTGCTATTTCAATATTTTTCTAGTTTTTCTAGCCACCCATGTTGGTGTTTAAAAATCAAGGAAAATATGAATTTGATAAAATGCACCGTGGTTTAATTTAAATACCATTTGTTTGTGGCAGTATTTAATGGAAGTTGTGCTGTTGATGTGTCTGATATCCAAAAGAACCTCAAAGATCTATATGAATATAACACAATGTTAAGGGAGAAACTGGTTGATACCCAGTCTATGCTTCGTGTTTTAACAAACAAGTATCCATCCATGGCATCAGAAGTCTAAACGTGATATCTACCTAGCCAGTTGGCGCTAGTTGAGCTTGTCTCCAGTAGCTCTAAGCAACTGCGCAACTGTAAATTTCGACTTCATAAGCTTCTGGCCTGGTTTTCCCTGATGAACTCCTTCGTGCTGTTATGAACTCTTGAGGACAAATTGTCTTATGATGTCCTTGATCTCGGGGAACCGTATGTGTGGGCATTCAATCTCATGTATAATCGTACAGTTGAAGTTCATTGTTGGAATGTTGGTGTTGCAGAATCAAATTTGGAGGCATATATGGGTATATCACGTGGTGTAAAACTGAAATTCTGGTTGCTGTAGTAGAGCGCTTTCCATGTTTCCATCAAGAAATATATTTTTGTGACTCATTTGATCATTTTTAAATATACGAAGTACAAGTGAAGATATCAGTGTTGTTTCAAGAGCATTGTGCCTTTATTGTTACTTCGTATTATTTTTTCATATTCTTGTTGAAATTTGTACATAATTTTCAGTACGTGGTTAAACGAGCAATGGTACGAATATTTTTATTTTGATTGTATTGAAATATATCACTCTTTAATACTCTGTAATAGGTTGTACTATTACTTTGGAGTATGAATACTTTTTTTTTTTTTTTTGGGAATGTGCCATTAGGGCAATGAGTTCAAATTAGTGACAAGAACCATTTTTTTCCCTTTTTTTTCTAAAATAAGTTAAAATAACATGAAATAAACAACTCATGCATAAATAAATTTGAAAAGTCAATCACCCATACGGCCATACCTACTGGGCTACTTGCCTATATTTATAAAGAGTTTTAGTCAAAAAATAAAAACATTGGTAAAAGAGTTAACATCAGATTTGGATTAGGGTTAATTGGGTAGAAGTAGAACTAACAAAAAAAAAAAAAAAAAAAAATTAACATAATTGAGAATCACAAATTTTTATACGTGGGCTGGCCACGCCGTGTGGCCAAGTTTACTCGAGTTACTTGGTCATGATTTATTCGAATTACATGGTCAGAGGTTATTTGAGGGATTCGGTTAGGAGTTACTCGAGGGTTCGATTGAGGTTCCTCAATGAGTTACTCGGAGATTACTTTTCTTCCTCTCTCTCCTGTTCTTCCCCATTTCTCACTCTTTTCTCTTCTTCCATTTCAATTTCAATTACTTTCTCGTTTTTACTCTTCTAATTTTGATGGCCGTCATTTGATTCTTAATTCTGTTAGAGAACATTGCAAATTAGGGTTTTCCGATCTTAAACTTCCCCTTTCCCTATTCAATCAATTGACCTCTTTGCGTCCTCTTCCTTCTGTTATCGTTTTCAATCAATCATTCACTGCCATTTCCAAATTGAAGCGCCTTCGTCCTCACTCCATCATTATTTCTCTTTCCAGGCAGCTTGAATTACTGGGTATTCGATACGATAGGCATTCGTTTGGTATTCTTGCTAATTGCTACTGTCATTTAGGCCGCGTTGATTTCTGGTTTTCTATCATGGCTAAATCCCTTAAACTTGGGTATCCCCCTAATTATTATGCCTTTAACACCTTAATCAATGGTTGTATCCTTAATGATATGCTCCCTCAAGCTGCTCAATTGTTGGATAAGATTGTTAAGCTTGGTTTCCAACCCGACATTGTTACCTGTGGTTCTATGGTTAAAGGCCTTTGTAGGATTAGTGACAATACAGCTGTTCTCAATTTGCTTAAGAAAATGCAATCTGCTGTTTATTGTAAGCCTGCACCAGATGTTAAGACTTACAGCATGCTGGTTGATATGTCTTGTATAGATGGTAATGTTGTGGAAGCGGAAGCGATTTTAAGACACATGACAGACAAGGTTGTAGCTCCTGATATCATTACTTACAATGCTTTACTTGATGGTTATTGTTTGCGTGGTCGGATGAGAGATGCAATAAAGTTACTTGATATCATGGCCCAAAATGGCTGTGAGCTTGATCTAGTAAGTTTTAATACTATGATCAATGGATATGTCAAAGTCAAAAACATTGATAAGGCTCTTACTCTGTTAGAATATATGTTTCAAAAGGGGATAACACCAAATGTTGTAACCTATTCCACTCTTATTGATGGCTTGTGTAAAGCCAATAAACTTACACTTGCACACCAGTTATTCACAGATATGCAAGCTCACGGGGTTACTCCTAATGTTTTCACGTATAACTCATTGCTTGATGGCCTGTGCAAAAGGGCTCGGCTGGGTGAGGCAGTGGCATTACTTGAAGATATGGAGGAGTAAGGTATTAAACCTACTACTCTCACTTACAATATCCTTATGAACAGCTTGTGTGAGGCCGGACAACTTGAAGATGCAGCAAAAATCTTCTCTGATCTTGTGTCAAAGGGCCTGCAACCGAATTGTAAAATATACACTACAATGATTAAAGGCTTCTGCAGGAAAGGGCTCATGGAGTGAAGCTGCTCAATTATTAAGGAAAATGGACGAAGATGGTTGCCCCCCCTGATGGTTGTACCTATAATATGATCATCCGATGATATATTCTCAATAATTTCTAAAGGAGTATGATTAGTATCTATCAGAATTTGTTTTTTTCTTTGAATTTTCTATGAAAATCTTGTCTTTAACTGATGGTTTATTTTAGACCACTAAATTCATGGTGAGTGGATAAGGCAATAGTGTCTTCTGAAAATGATATTGATCAGCCTTTGTTTCCTTTACTTTTCAGTTTTTAGGAAGCAAACTCAAAGAGAGAAGTAGTTCAATTTGTAAATGGACCATTTGCAGTTTCGCTGGATAAAGAATACAAATTTGAAGACCTTTAATTGGTAAGATTCTCATCATCTACCCCTTTACCTATATACTTAGTACTTTCATAATCATGTGGGCATTCTCCACCCAGAGTCCATTTTACACTAAGCTAAATAATGTACTCGTAAAATCCTTTGACTTTAGATAATTATAGAGTATATGACAGTGGCTTATTAAACAGCCTATCCTTTTTTATCTTTCAAAATGTAGCAAACTGTCATTGTCTAATTACTAAGCCTATGTTTCTTCTCTATTTGTTATCACAATGGTATTGCTTTATGGATTTGAGTCTTTGACTCTCCTATCCACCTTGGGTGGGAGTCTCTTTAGATAGATTACGTAACATTGCTGCCTATGTCACCTTTGGCAGGAGTCATTATAGATAGATCACGCACAGTTGACACCCACTGTTGACGTCAATGTGTTGCATTTTCCGTTCACTGCATATTGTATTAAGTGTTTTGTAGGGTAGCATCAGCTTCTTGTTTTTTAATATAATATTTTCTTCCTTATTTGGGAAGTATTAGTAGATCATGAAATTGGTGAGAGAAATGTTTCTTCTGAGAATATTAAAATCCTTAGGAATATTCTTCTTTACGATATGGCATTTGCTTGGTTTTCCATGTCTTGTGTGTGCCTCATTGTTGCAAACACAAGCAACCACCATGCTCACTGCTGCCAATACTACACTGCCTGGATGCCCGCGTAAGTGTGGGAACGTGACAATCCCCTACCCTTTTGGCATTGGGAGGAGCTGCTCCTTGGGGTATAATTACGTTGTAGTTTGTGACACTGAAAAGAATTTCTCTGTACCTAGAATTTCTGGTAGACAGATTCTTGATATATCCGAGACCCAGATTACAGTTATAGATGGCCGTGTTGCTTCTTCTTGCAATTTTGCTGAAGAAGGATCAGGTGAAGATGGCACCTGGTCTAATGTTGATCTGACAGGCCAACCCTATTCTTTGTCATCTGCCTCCAACATCTTTGTGGTCACTGGTTGCCGTCATTATGGATTGATTGAGGCACAAACAACTACTGGCCGAGAAGTTGCTAGCTGTGTTGCCTTGTGTACTAGAGAAGAGGACTTACGTAACAAGATGTGCTCGGGCATTGGCTGCTGTGAGGCTCCCATTCCAAAGGGCTTAAAGTTCTGGAATATTAGCCTAGAGAATATATATTACAACACAAGTGTTTCATCAGGGAATTGCAGCTATGCCTACATACTTGAAAAGTCGACCTTTTACTTTCTGGGGCTGCAGGGCCAGGACTCGGGATATCTGAAAAGTGTGCCTGTAGTGCTTGACTGGTTTATTCCCAATGAACGGTGCAAGGATGCTCAGAAGAACTCAACTACTTATGCATGCCAACAGAATACAAATTGCATTGATCTTGGGCGTGCTCTAAATGTCATAGGCTATCGCTGCAAATGTCTACATGGGTATCAGGGAAATCCTTATCTTAGTCCGGGTTGTATAGGTAAGTATCTTATTTCTCGCCCCTTTTAGTGGCATGCTAAATATATTAACAGCTTAAAAATTAAGCTTGTTAGAGTCACCCCTATAAATAACTATCTGTACATCTTTTTCCCAGAAATTGACGAGTGTGCAGGGGTGAATAATCCTTGTTCAAGCATTTGTGTCAACACTCAAGGAAACTATGAGTGTTACTGCCCAAGTGGGTTTTATGGTGATGGCAGGAAGGATGGTACTGGCTGTCGTTCTAACAGCTTGAAGTTGATCTTAGTTCTTGGTAATTGTTCTTTTATTTATTTCTTGCAGTAGGAATTATAGTTAGATTAACATTTATAAAATTCAATAAACTGAGGTTTCTCTTATTTTGTAATCAGCCATGGCCTTAAATGAAAAGCATGGTTACAGTACTGATTAAGATTTTGGAATGAATATGGAAACCTCTTACAGTTAAGAACATTTCTCTAATCACATCTGAATATCTGTCTTCTCGTCTAGTTCTACCAACCAAAACACATAATTGTTAGGGTGGATAATTCTCTGCTATCGGCTGATGACCTCATCCTGAGCATAATATCTATGTTATTTGCACTTTGCAGGACTTGGCTTGGGTTTGGGATCTATTCTTCTCTTGCTCAGTGGGTTTTGGCTTTTCATTATAGCTAGAAGAAGAAGAAACAGGATGCAAAGAGCCAAATGCTTTAAACAAAATGGTGGTTTGTTATTACAGCAAAAGATGTGGTCCAAGGATGGTATGATAGAAAAAACAAGAATTTTCACTGCTGATGAACTAGAGAAAGCCACTGATGGCTTCAATGAGAACAGAGTGCTGGGTCAGGGAGGTCAAGGTAAAGTTTATAAAGGTATGTTGAGTGATGGAAATGTGGTTGCCATAAAGAAATCTAATATTGGAAACAGCAATGGGTTGAGTCAATTCATCAATGAAGTGGTTATTTTATCAGAAATCAATCACAGAAATATTGTCAACCTGTTGGGATGTTGTTTGGAAACAGAAGTCCCACTGCTAGTTTATGAATTCATTCCAAATGGAGCTCTCTCAAAATATATACATGGTCCTAGTGAGGATTTCCCGATTACATGGGAAATGCGTTTACAAATTGCTATAGATGTCGCAGGTGCACTCACTTATCTACACTCAGCGTCCTCTAAGCCTGTCTTTCACAGAGATGTAAAAACTTCCAACATACTTCTTGATGCGAAATATAGAGCAAAATTATCAGATTTTGGGACATCAAGATCTGTTGGTGTTGATCAAACTCATTTAACCACTCGTATTCAAGGTACTTTTGGTTATCTAGATCCTGAGTATTTCCGGTCAAATCAATTTACAGATAAGAGTGATGTTTATGGTTTTGGAGTTGTTCTTGTAGAGCTCTTGACAGGAAAGAGAGCTGTTATTCCCACCGAATCTCATAACGGAAGAAGTCTTGTGTCATATTTTCTGTCAACTATGGAAAATTCCAATTTGTATGATATTTTGGATGCTCAAGTCGCTAAGGAGGGCAGAGAAGAAGCTATATTTGCTGTTTCTAACCTTGCTAAAAGATGTGTGAACATCGATGGTAAGCAAAGACCAACAATGAGAGAAGCTGCTTTAGAGTTGGAGGTGATCAGTCAACTTCGTCATGCTCCTGTTTCAACTCAAAAAAATCAGCCAGAGGTCACTGCAGAGACATTAACAGAGATTAATTATAGTCTAAGTGATAGTCTTGTGCCTCCAGACACATCTTATATGGAAGAAAATTGGTCTTTTCCCTCCACAGGCTCTAGAATTCAACATGAAACTCATGACGGGGCATGATTTTTTCTGAACTCTGGTTTTGACAACCAGAATCTTCTATGCTCTTATTGTCTTGAACTTATATATGTTAGGTCAGAAAACGTGCATGTTTCACATCCAAACAATTCTCCCGAAATGAGCTTCAATTTTACAGAAATCAAAGTGAGTGCAAGATACTGTCTATTGCATCCTACACATAAGAACATTGCTCATTACCTTGAATTAGGTCTGCCTCTTCAACTTTTCCATCAACACCCCTAGATCAAGAAGTGATTACAACATCACTGTTGTAAACGCTGCCCTAGTTAATAAGGTAGCTAGTAATTTGTATGGATCTTGTTCTGCCTACAATTTTTTTTCTTCTGATTTTGGGTTAAGCTTTCAACTTTCCGTGTTAGTTTTATAATATAATTCCTGTTACTATGTGTATATCCGATTCTTTTTAATACTACTGGTATTTGTGAGCAGTATGACTAATGATCACTTGATCACTCTTGTATTTTCTTGTAAAATTATGATATTCCGTTTCATTCCCTCTTTTCCAATATTTACAAGTTCGGAGTCATGATTTTTTTTTTTTTTTTTTTTTTTTTTTATAAAGTGGAATGATGAGTTGTCATTGGAATAATCTAGCAATAAGGATAATTCTTCTAATCTTTTTAGTTAACAGAAAAATCAGCATTCTTATTTACTCTGTTATGAACAAAATCAAAAAAATACAACATAAACTGCAATTTCAAGTAGCGGTATTCAAAGTCCGCTACTTTAAGTAGGGTTTTTTTAATTTGTTTGAATACCACTTTCTCTTAACCGGTACATGCTTACGTGAACAGTAAAGTGAGAATTCGTAAAAAGAAAAAGAGACTATATTTTTGAAAATTGGATGATATAATAGCATTATTGAGGAAAAAAGCCCTTACGAACTCAAAGTACCCTTAATAGGCTGAGAACTTAAAACAATTGCACGTCTACAGCTCTGCATAGTAACATAGATACCAGTTGAACTGGTTGAGCTCGGTGTACTCATAAACACATTACAGTATACAGCATTCTCTTTTATCTTCTTCATCTGTTTCAGCAGAAACTTCCTCACCATCTTCATTTTCTCCGACCTTCTCTTTCCGCCATTGTTGTCACCTGCATCTAATGCGATTAGATTTTACTTGTTTGCTCTGAATTTGGGATGAAGTTTATCTGGAATGTTCATGTCGTTAAATCAATGACAAAACAAGAGTATATATAGTGCAAGAAAATCAACGGCTAAGATTACATCTCGAGCGAAATAAAAGAAGTCGCATCGCTGAAATAGGGGCAGCCGGTTAGACCGAACCTACCCTGAGTTCAGTCGAACCAGGAGTGGTTCGGTCGAACTCTCAAGTTAGTAGCAAAACTTTATTTCCTTCAAATGGTTCGACCAAACTTTTCAAAAGTTCGGTCGAACTTCCGCACTGCGCAGACAAATCTTCGTGAAACAGCTATAACTCCCTCGATTCTTGACCAAATCGAGCGTATGACCAGTCGTTGGAAAACTCTTGAGAAGAGCTATCACCTCCAACTTGATTCATCTCAATATCATTTCTAGATCTTGAGATATGCTCATTTGAAGTCAGCCCTTTGCCATTCACCATTGTTTAACACCAAGCAATAGCCCATAGCTTAAAATCCTAAGCTATGCACCCCCTTAGCCTTCTTGAACCGTTCTCCACACTTCTCAAACCCAACATAAGCCTAATACTATCACTTACAATATCCTAATTGACAGCTTGTGTGAGGCTGGACAATTAAAAGATGCAGCACGTTTCTTCTTTGATCTCGTGTCAAAGGGCCTGCAACCGAATTGTAAAATATACACCACAATGATTAAAGGCTTCTGCAAGAAAGGGCTCATGAGTGAAGCTGCTCAATTATTAATCAAAATGGATGAAGATGGTTGCCCCCCTGATGATTGTACCTATAATATGATCATCCAAGAAAATATTCTCAATAAGGACTTGTCAAGTGCACTATACTATCGCGACATTATGGTTAGCAATGGATTTGAAGCTGATGCGAACACTTTTTCGCTGTTTGTTAGTCTTTTGCCTTCTGGTAACTTATGTGATTCATCAAAGGACCTACTTCAGAAACTTATCAATTGAATTGGAGTTGATTCAGCAAAGGAACTTCTGCACGTCTTGCTTGATGAAAAGGACGTCCAACAAGGTTTATACTAAATTCTGATGTACTCATAGTGCTGTTATTAGAATAGTTTTGCCTAAACTATAGTTAATCAAGTGATGGTATTTGTTCTGCTTCACCTTTGATATATTTTAGTGGGCTTAACTTACTGATGTTGAGTGTTTTTTTTTAATAATGGTATTGTAATTAGGAGGGAGTATTGGAGAACCCTTATGCTTCATTAGTTAATGAAAACAGAAGACAGATCTTTCTACTATGTGGAAGCTTATTGGTCAAGGCTTAGTTCCACTAATTTCATCTGATACATATTTTTTTGCCCTATCTAGCTAGATCTTTCAGTGTTTGTGTATATCAGCTTACTTTTGTTGCTAGATTTTGAGAAGTATATATAATATTATAGGCAGTAGTCGCTAGCTGTAACTTTTGACTTTTGTACGTAGATTTGCACAAGATTATATTTTGAAAAAAAAAATACACAAAGGTCTTCTACTAGTAAAAATAGATTCTGTACTCATATTTTGGGAAGCTATACTTCCAAACTAAGTTAATTGAAGATCAAACCGTGCTTCAACTTTGCTAGGAGTTTTTATCCTGTGGCCCTGATCGGGGAATCGATGAAATAGAGTTACTAGAGGATCCATACTTTGATTAAAAATCGATCATTAAGCAAACTGACAGTACTATTGGTAGGAGATTTACCTTCATTTGAATTAAATAATTTGACAGTAAGGTCTGATGAGTGATTAAGAGCGCTAATCAACCTTCATTGTGAGAAATACAACATTATTCTTTTTTGATAAGCTTTAATTTAAAGCTTTATAAAGCACCATTCTGATACTGCAACTATCTGGCTTCAAGCATTAGTTTAAATAAACAGGTACAACTACCTAGCAACATAACTTGCAGACCTGAATAGTGGATTGTATTTAATTATTCTAGTGGTCTGAGCTGTATCTTAAAAAAAGTATAGACTGACCTGAATTTGAACCAAGGATGCCTATTTAGTCTCATTTAAGACAACACCCTGAAGCTCTTTTGAATGCTGGCGGCGAGGGGATAAGGACCAGAACCTATTGTAATGTTATCGCCTTATTGGTGTAAAATAATATGTATGTTTTCTATCTACCTGTGATATTGTATGTCTGAATTAAGGATTCCTTAATTTCTTGCTCTTAAGAATGACTACAATTCTCCTGGTCATCATGCTGAATTGCTGATTATGATACAGTTACACTTAGTCATGTGACTGGATCTCATCTCTGTTAGTCACAGTATTGCTAAGCTAGCGTAAACAGAATTATAGGATTGGGTATATTTCAGTTACTCTAATGAAGTCTTCTTGTTAGTGTGCTATGCTTGTAGCTGGATCTAATCCATTGAGTAACTTTGAATGTATTTTAATGTTCAAACCCTGCTCCCTGGTACATGGTGAGGCACTCTACGCACTGATGTTTAATTTGTTAATGTTGTATTCCCTCCATCCCTAAGACCCTAACCCATAGGCAAATGTGCTTTAATATGGATTGAACAAATGGATGAGGGTATCTTTGTCTTTTTACTTTTATGAGTATATATGTGAGTGGGGTTAGTGGTGGGGACGTGTTTTTATATTACGAAATGGGACAATCTAAAAGGGCATACCAAAATAGAGTATGGGGAAACCTAATAGGGTCAGAGGGAGTAGTAGTAGTATGGCCTAATAGCTTATTACGTTGTCAGGTAATCGAGTTAAAATGATCTTGAAAAACGCCGGGGATACATGAAAATTAGGCAGCTTTATTTGTACCTTTTGAATGTATATTTCCAAAAACTATTTTTTATTAAGGTGAAAAAAGGCTCTGCAGTAAGACAATAATGATTCATGAAAAGTATGGAAAGGTATGAAAGCAGACAAAGGCCTTACATAGAGAAATTGGTAAAGATACTACGAGACTTGATGTAACTGTTATCTAGATGTGATGAAGAATGAACACGTTTTAATGCCTGGTAAATGATGGCATTCTTTTATTTAATGCTCCCCTGTAGTCTAAAGCCTAATTAGGTAGCTCAAATCTTATAAATATGATGAGTCTTAGGAGAGAGTGAGGGAGTGATATATAGAAGCTATGCAGATATAAATATAGTATGTCATTAGGAGGAAAGATAAACAACTATTATATAGCTATTGGCTAGTATATAAAGTGAAAAATGTTTTGGACCGCCAAAACACTATTGGTTAGTGGCTATTAATCTATTAATAATGCATAAGAGTCAACAGATTAGGCGAATAATCATACTTAAATTTCTCATTTACTTTTCAGATTACAAAAAAGAGCAGTTATGCTAGAGATATATGAACCTTGTGGAGATTGGCTAGAAAAAGACTGCAGGATTAAAGAATTTAAAGTTATTGCTCTTGTGACCCTTAGATTATTAAGATTATCCTAATCTCCTCTTTAATTATTATACTAGTACTCTTATAATCATTTTACTTTTCCCACCCTAAGTAGTGAAAGTACCTTTAATTTTGTGCTAATAATAAAATAAAATTATCTTCTTAGACTTTGGAATAATGTGGGTGAATTACATTAAAGTGGCTATTATAAAGGCTATGTTTCTTATATATTATGAAGTAGCAGACTTTCAATGTGTTTTTTATGTAGGATTTGTTGTAATTAACCTCTTTGTTATTGCAAATATATACTATTTGGAAAGATCAGATAATGTTGATGTCAGTGTGTTGTATTTCCCACTCATAGCCTACTGTAAGGAAGGATTGTCTGGGTCGTGAAATTAAACTGTTTATATAGTTTATTGCTCATGGCAATATCTTGTTCATACTTGATTTTCAATCATTTTTCTTCTCTGTGAGCAGGGAAGTATTAGTTACATGATCTCAATAGAGGTGAGAGATATGATTCTTGTGAGGATAATTTCCTTAGCAATTTTCTTCTGTTTTACATGGCTTTTGCTTGGTTTTCCATGCCTAGCGTTGGCTTCATTCATGCAGTCACATCAAACCACCATGCTCACTGCTTCCAATACTACACTGCCTGGATGCCCGCGTAAGTGTGGAAACTTGACAATTCCCTACCCTTTTGGCATTGGCAGAGGCTGCGCTTTGGGAGATAACTACGTTATAGTTTGTGACATCAAAAGGAATTCCTCTGTGCCAAGACTTTTCAATAGACAAGTTCTTGACATATCTGAGACCCAGTTGATAACTACAGTTCGTCCTGTTGCGACTGCTTGCAACTCTGCATTAGCAGGCTCAGGTGAATTTGTCACCTTGAATAATCTTAATCTTACAGCCAAACCCTATGCTGTGTCATCCACTTCCAACAAGTTTGTGGTCACTGGTTGCCATCACTATGGATTTGTTGAGGCGCAAACCATTGCTGGCAGGGAAGTCTTTAGCTGTGTTGCTTTGTGCAATCGAAAAGCAGATCTACTTGATCAACTTTGCTCTGGCATTGGCTGCTGCGAAGCTCCCATTCCAAAGGGATTACAGTTCTGGAATACTACCCTTAAAAAGATTGATTACGTTACAAGGTTTTCATCAGGGAATTGCAGTTATGCCTTCATACTCAAAAAATCAAGCTTCAACATTCGGGGGTCCCCAGATGCTGTAAGTCTTAAGTCTGTGCCTATAGTGCTTGACTGGTTTATTCCCAATAAATTGTGCAAGGATGCTCAAAAGGATTCAGCAACTTATGCTTGCCAACAGAATACAACTTGCATTGATCTTGATAAGGTTCTGAGAGTTGTAGGGTATCACTGTAAATGTCTTCAAGGGTATCAGGGTAATCCTTATCTTAGCAGAGGTTGTAAAGGTTAGTATATTGTTTATAATTCCTTCGTATTACATGGATTTTTTTTTGGACTGTAAATTAATTTATATTCTGAGACACCCCTATATTAACCATTTTTTTAACTCGTCTCAGACATTGATGAGTGTGCAGGGCCAAATACTCCATGTTCTGGTACTTGTGTCAATACTCCAGGAAGCTGTGAATGTCACTGCCCAGCTGGATATTATGGTGATGGCAGGAAAGATGGAACTGGTTGTCGTTCTAATGGTTTGAAATTGTTCATCGGTCTAGGTAATTATAATTTGTTTATTTCTTGCATTGTTGTAATTATACTTGGATCTATTATTAAATACTATAAGCTGAAGCTGCTGTTCATGTTAGTATTCAGCCACTAAGCCTAGAATTAGGTGCTTAATTATGGTGCTGAAAAATTGTTTAGGAATGAAATATGAAAACGCCTTATTTTATGTTGTTAAGAAATTTTTGCATTGAAAAGTTAAAATTCAGTCCTCTCTTTCCCCTCCAACCAACCAATCCAGAAAAAATATTAGTGAAAACCACTATCTGCTGTTCTGTAAGCCTCATCCTGGCAAAATTATATGTTATCTGCATTTTGCAGGACTTGGCTTGGGTTTGGGATCTATACTTTTCTTTCTTAGTGGGTTTTGGATATTCATCATAGCTAGAAGAAGAAGGGAGAGAATTCAAAGGGCTAAATACTTTAAGCAAAATGGTGGTTTGTTATTGCAACAACAAATGTCATCCGAGGATGGTTTGATAGAAAAAACAAGAATCTTCACCGCTGATGAGCTGAAAAAGGCTACTGACGACTTCAATGAAGACAGAGTGCTGGGTCAGGGAGGTCAAGGTACAGTTTATAAAGGTATGTTAACTGATGGAAACATTGTTGCCATAAAGAAATCCAAAGTAGAAGGGCAAGGCCAGTTGGGTCCATTCATTAACGAGGTGGTTATTCTATCCCAAATCAACCATAGAAATATAGTCAAGTTATTAGGATGTTGTTTGGAAACAGAAGTTCCTCTGCTTGTCTATGAGTTTGTCCCAAATGGGACTCTTTCCAAGTATATCCATGATCCGAGTGAAGACTTCCCAGTTGCATGGGAAATGCGCTTGCATATTGCTATAGATGTAGCGGGAGCTCTTTCTTACTTGCACTCCGCATCCTCAAAGCCCATCTTCCACAGAGATATCAAAACTTCTAATATACTTCTTGATTCAAAATATAAAGCAAAGCTATCAGATTTTGGAACATCAAGATCTATTGCTATAGATAAAACTCATTTAACCACTTGTGTTCTAGGCACATTTGGTTATCTTGATCCTGAATACTTTCGATCACACCAATTCACTGAAAAGAGTGACGTTTACAGCTTTGGAGTAGTTCTTGTGGAGCTTTTGACAGGGCAAAAGGCAGTTCGCCCTGCTGACACTCCTGAGGGTCAAAGTCTGGTGTTGTGGTTTCTATCAGCTATGGAAAGTTTGAAAATATGTGATATATTGGCACCTCAAGTTGTGAAAGAGGGTAGAAAAGAAAGCATCCTAGCCACTGCCAATCTTGCTAAGCAGTGTTTGAACATGGATGGGAAACAAAGGCCGACAATGAGAGAAGTTGCGTTGCAGTTGGAGGTCATCAGTCAACTGGAAGATGTGCCTGCTACATATAGAAACAATCTGCCAAAGACCAATGAACCAAATTCCATAGAAATCGAAGTGAGTGCAAGCGAAAGTTTAATGCCTCCATCTGCATCTTACACAGAAGAAGATCAGTCTTTAGACTCTTTACCTTCAATTGGATCCATCTCTTCTTATTTTCCACAAGCTTTGTTCAAAAAATATGGTAATAACGTCACGTAGTTTGTTATGAACCCTGATATTGTAATGCAAATACTGTTGCACTTTTGTCTCCAGCAGTTCCACTTGTTAATTGTAATGGGGAACCTACATTCAGGCAGTGCTATTCCGCAGCTAGTGGTATTAAAGGCCTTGGTTGCCTAGGTGTGGTTTGGGCTTGTATTAGGTGTTACAGTGCTCTAAGTAATTTTCTATATTGTGTTGGGACTTATTATGCAGTGCCATGGTTATCGTCTGTCTCTTTTTCTGCAAAGATACGCTAGAGTTTGATTGGTAATCAATTTGAATTTCAGGTTGGGTTTTATTCTTGAGAGAAGACATAATTATAAACTATATATACTTCAAAAATTATAAAAATCAATTTAAATTCCAAATGGCGGCCTTTTAAAAAATATTCATTTATCTTCAAAAGGTGATCTCTCTTCTGCTTAAGTTAACTGGCTACCAAAGCTGCATTTATTGATTTAAGGAAACCTCCTGTGCTAAAATTATATCATTGATTCTGGCTTTTTGTTTAGTAAGTTATTTTCAAATTAACAATTTCTAAAATTGTGCTCATATGTAATATTATACTTTGCTTATTTCACTTTATCATTGGTTATGGACTAAGCTAAATCTTTTCTATTCATTTGTCACCCAAAATTCTCTGTGTTCTTACTGCTTGTTTTTGCAAATGCTTATTCTGGCCTGCTTCATTTATAAGGTCAACTCTGTTTAATAAAGGCCGGCATTTTTATATCAGGCATATGCTAAAGTTTGTTGCTCTCTTCCACTGCAAAGTATTTCTTGAAGAGCTTAACTTAATACAGGTACTAATCAACGCCTCTTAACACATCGACCACATAGGGAAGAAAAAAAAAGATAAATAACATGAGCAGTAGACTGTTGTGAATATAAGATCACCATTGATGAATAGTCATCTCCACCGTGCAATTTTTTTCATGGCCATTATGAGGGGCTGCCTTCTGGTTAATAGCTCCAACATCAGAGCTCCGTAGCTGTACACTATCTGATATGGAGTAGAAGTGGAAATAGCCAAGCATCGGAATATATTAATTACAAGGGTTTATCAAAGTTAATAACAATCTAAGTTAATAACATCCTTGGAAAATTAAATGCTGAGATTAATATAAAAAAACTCTAAACACAATTCTGAGAAAAATGAATGGGCACTAACAGTGCCCATATTTTTCTTAAGAAAGTCTAATACACAATTCACCAAATGACCAAGGTGATGATGCCAAACAGGACCCGATGTTGAGGTACAGAGGACGCCATGATAAGGTTAAACTCCCCTACTGTTTTCTTGAAGAAGCTCCTCCATATGACTGTCCCTAACACAAACAGAAAGTTATTCAGTAATTTATTGCTATTTGTTACAATATCTGAGATTCTGAACCAACATTCAATGACATGAATTTGGGAATATATGTAGAACATTATTCAACTGTAAGAATGTGATTTAGAGTCCAAGGGCACATTGCAAACATTAGATATAGGGAGATTGGTGCCATTAGCTGTTGTCACATGAATTAGGTCTAGAGTAGGGAGATTTAGAAGAGCAAGTACCTGAGTCTCAATGCAATTTGATGATGTTTCTAGTTCCTGCACAAAGATTGTTAGTTAGATTGTGTTTGTGCTTGTGGTTGGACTTGGCTAGATTCACCCCCTTGTTGCTGATCAAGGTTTCCAGCACCACGTGCATGTTCAAGATTGCCTTGGACACGATTATTTCCACGCCCACCGCAGGTATCTACAGAAAATTTTTACCACATTTATTCTATGATCTACACTCTGTAACTAATACATACTGCATACATGGAAATTATCTGTCAGTGAACTGAATGAGATCCTCTCTACCTCTTATCTGCCGAAGTTGCACAACAACTTCAATCATGGTTGGTCTCTCAGCCCCTTTCTTTGCCACACATTTCAGTGCAATCCGCACAGCCTGTTTAATCTCATCCCTACTTGCTTGATTCAGTAGCTCCCTGTCGATCATGTTCATAACGCAATTATTTTGGAAAGCTGAAACAAAAACATCAACCAAGTCTCTCCCACCTCTAAGCATCCTAATGGGATTACTTCTGGTTAGCAACTCCAACAATAAAACACCAAAACTGTACACATCACACTTATCTGTCACCACCTGAGTCTCAATGTACTCAGGATCAATAAATCCTGGACTTCCTTCAACAGACCATCTTTCAGATGTATCCCCTGGATTAATGGACACTGCATAACCAAAATTTCCTAACTTAGCCTGGAATGAAGAATCAAGAAGTACACTTGCTGAGCTAACTCCCCGATGCACCACTGGCTTTCGCAAGGCATTATGCATATAAGATAGTGCATATGCTGTATCGGTTGCAACTCTCAAACGGTCAGCCCACTTTAAACACTTGATAGATGCTGTATCACCATGTAAATGTTGAGAAAGGATCCCATTTGGCAACATTTCATACACTAGTATTGGTATAAAAGTATCGAGGCAACAACCATAGAGTTTAACCATATTTTCATGATTCATAACCATAGCTATTGATGCTTCATTCAAGTTGCGATCAACCAATTTAGGATTTCTCTCTAGCTGCAATGGAACTCCAACAACTACAATACGATCTTCAATGGTTGCTTTGTAGACGTTTCTTTGAGCACTACTACCAACAAGAAGATTAGGGTCAAGGTTGTTTGTAGCCTTCTCAATATCCTTGTGTGATAAAATCTTCAGCTGCCCCGGACCTACATTACGACCTTGGCTAAGAGCAATTTGCTTTTCCAACAAAATTCCTCCATTCTGAGTGAATCTAAAGTCAATCTTCTCTTGTTCCCAATCTTCTCATTGATTTTCATTTGAACTTTATCCATGTATTAGAGACTGTTTTCGGGCAAATTATCTAGCACAAATTATTGCCTAAGAAGTGGAAAGATGTGTTAGCATAATAATGGACATTATTTCCGAAAGTCATCTAGGAGATCTCCTGCTCTCTTAATAGCAAACTATTACAGAGTACATATAATTTATAGTAAAGATTTATTTGTGACACCCAAACAATGGTACGAGAACCAAGTGGGAGCTCAACTGCAGAGCTCTCACCTCCCAACCATCAAGTTGAGGATTCATCACCCATAACTTTATAATAATAACTTAATCTAGCCAAAATGGTGAAATGCATAATATTTATATTATAAAGTTATTTCTATCTACTTCATATAATATTAAAATGACACTTGATTTTCTCCAAAATTATTCATGATCATCAGTAAATGTTCTGTAATAAAAATATATAAAAGGTTCAATCTTAGGACAGAAAATTAATTAACTGCAAAAGAAACAAAAAAAAAAAAAAAAAAATCATTACCCCTTAATATCCAACCGTAATATCTTTTACCAGTACAATTGCACAGAGTATAATTGTATGAAGCTCAGAAACGTTTACCCTTCTCGTTTCGAAACGTCCCAAAAAATGTCCTGCTGTTGTGACGATTCGAAACCTTAGCCGCAGATTGAAGTGATAATTAAGACACCGGACATCTCTCGGCGAGTCGATTAATTAAGGCACTAATAATAAAATGATTAATGAGTAAAACTGTTTTGAAGCTTAAGAAATTAAATTGAGAATATGTGAGATCCTCACTCAACTCATACAGAAAGAGCCGATAATGATTAATAACCACTATTATTAATCATTAATAGCGGGTATTAGTAGTTGGTGGAGATGATAATACAAATAGTCAATCAAAATTATGAGTACCGGTCAAAAGTGTAGTCTATAAATAAGAGGGGTGCATAATAAATACTACCTTCATTTTTATTATTTGCAACAATTACTAAAATTGGGTGTTTCGTATTATTTGCAACAAACAATTTTTTTTTTTCCTTTTGTAGTAAGTTTTTTAATGTTAAAATTACCATATTACCCTTATTAAAAACTGATTATATACTAAACTACTATCTAACTATGATTAATAAACCCTATAATCATACATCCTAACTTAATCATTCCCACCAAAAATCAGAATCACCTTTCCCTTTTTTCTTCAAAAAATCAGAAACCCTTATTAAAAACTGATTATATACTAAACTACTATCTAACTATGATTAATAAACCCTATAATCATACATCCTAACTTAATCATTCCCACCAAAAATCAGAATCACCTTTCCCTTTTTTCTTCAAAAAATCAGAACCCCTTCACCTCCTCACCTACCATCTTCAATGTATCCCCCAACCACCTCCATTAATGACGCCTCTTTTCATCTGCCTTGTTTTCCATATTCCAACGCATTTGTGGTTTCTGATTTTGAACGCTACTTTCGAACTCTCTGTGTTCTCCCAAAACAGTCCCCTTTTGCTTCCCTCTCTTTTCAAGTTGAAACCCTAATCTTTGTAGATCTTGGTGTTCTTCTACTTTTGTCTTCAAAAAACCCAGAAAAATGAGTTCCCCAAACAAAAAAAACCGAGATCTGGCGTTGTTGCAACCTACAAGCGCCAGCGACGCACTGGGAAGATGCGATTGATTGGGACCCGTTCTGCTACTTACCTGGATATGAAGCGTAGGACATGTGGGGGTGCAAAGCTTGCTCGATATGACTCTGATGAGGAGCGTTGTGATGCTAAGATATCATATCTGGGAAAGGTTGGTCAGGGTTCGACCAAAACACCTCCAGAAGTCAATGTTCTGGTCAGCGATGACGATGAAGCCCCTGTTGCAGCCCCTTCGCCTCCTAAATCCGTTGAAGAGGGGGTGGCTGAGGTCAGATCTAGGGCCAACGAAGGTCTCTGTGGAAAAAAACGTGAGAGATCTGAGTCCCTTCCTGCTGAGAGCGCTGAAAGCAGTGCGCCGTAACTGCTGTCTCCAACTAATCAAGCAGCATAACTCATTTCTTACCCTAGAATTAATTGATTCATCGTTTTCATGTTCTCCTAGTCTTTGATATAAATTATCTGCTGGTTTTGATTAATTTCCTGATTTGAGATTCTGTGGTTGAAATGGTTTGCCTTGATTATAGTGATTGGCTAGTAATTGTTGACTGTTATTGGCTGAACATGTGGAGTGGTTGTACTGATTTGTGTTATGTTGCCTGATTTGGATTATGGTTGGCCTTATTTGGGTCTGTTTGGTGTGTTGACAGTTATTGGTAGTAAGTGTTGCATATTGTTGGGTTAAAAGGTCCTTTGATGACCTGTTTTGTGATTGGTAACCTAATTATGCTGTGTTTGCTATGTTATGAATTGTTCAGATTCATAGTAGGCTGTTGATGGAGGGAAAATTTTGGGTTGTCTGAACTGATTTGTGATTAGTAGCCTCAGTTGCATGATGGTTGCCCTAATTATGCTATGTTTGCTATGTTTAGACTTGTTCACAATTATTGTAGGCTGTTGAAGGGTTGAAAAGTGTGTTGTCTGCACTGATTTCTGATAATTTAACTCATTTGATTTGTGAATACTTGGTGGCTGAACAAATTAGGCATTCCAAAGGCATTGGGGTTAGTGATATGGTGAATGATGATGAACTTGTGGCCTTCATGTATGTCCCTGTGTGAGTCCTCTTATGAACTATCTGTCCCTATGTCAACTAAGAGTCCCTGCCTATGTTGTGTGTGCTTGGAAAATCCATGTGATGAAGGGACTCATATGATACAAAAAATTCGTGAGTTGGAATTGCTCCAACAACTTCATATGAGAGTTATTGTTGAGGGAACCACTTATGCAACTTATGTGATAAAAAAAACCCTGTCTGATGGATTGATGTATCAGTCTGTGTTGCACATTTGATGTTTATCATGTGCCCCTAGTTGTAAATAAACCAACCACAATTGATATCATAAATTCTACCAAAAACTTTTACAATGTCCACATAAAGGTAGCTAAGACTGCCTTACAATATTAGTAGGCATGACTTAAAACAAAAATCACCTAACCAATGATTGTCATACAATAATCAACAAAAAAAAAAAAACAGAAAACATCACATACTATGTTTCTTGCTGCTTCATTGCTATTCATTGGTTATGTGTGGCAGTCTCACTAAAATCTTCTTCATGTGTCTGACTTGTATTCAGTCTGCATCAACTTGCATGCCTTCATCTTCTTCATTTCCTCCACTTGTTGATATGAATATAGTATTGAGGTAGTCAACATCTTGTTGAACCACCTTGCTGTCCACCTGTAATTGCTCTGGTAGCAACCCAATCCTTGCAAGCCTTTTCTTCCCTTAGTGTGGTGGGGTGAAGTTATTCCCTCCTAGGTAATTGAGTATTTCTTCCATGCAACATTGTAGTGTTATCCAACAATGTTTGTTAAACACTAGGTTGAACAACTCATAAGCTTCTCTTACCCTGTCTATGAGTTCCAGTAGGTTCTTAGGGAATGATTGGTATTGTAGTGATTGTATTACATTGAACAAGCCTAGATCTAGCACATTTAAGTCTGAGGTGGCTGGTATATGAACTGAATATTGAATCCATTTGACTGACAGGCTGACACAAATTCCTCATCCCTTGGAATTTGATGAGGTCTGGCATTATCCCACTGAATCCATATGTCCTTGGGTAGATGGGAAGGCCATTTAGCTTTGATGCCTGGAATGACATTATTCAGTAGCATTGCCCTTATGGCTTCTTTGTTGACATTCTGTGTAGCCTTGATTTCTACAACACCAGCTTCCCTGTTTTTGCTTTTTTTCTTTGTTGTGCTTTCATACACAAATGGAAATATTCCATACTTTCCATCATGTAATACTGCTCCTTGGTGGTCAAAAATTGGCTTCCCTATGGCTGCCATGAACATGCCCTTCACTTTGAACCTTTTGGATTGTTGGCACATATATGGGTTAGCTTCAATTGGTAGGAGGTAGAACCTCCTAGTTTCTGGGTTCAAGTAGAACCATTTTTCATCAATGTGGACAACTTGCTGCATGTCCACAAACTTAGGGTCCCCATTGTCTTCAGCAGACATTAGATGACTTAGCACCCATTTCATTCTTGCTATCTTGTGGTTGTCTGTCAGATGTGGGTGATTTGTGCTTGTATGTGTTCTGCGTCTCCCTTGTTTCTTTAATTTATGGATGGTGACATGTGGGATTTTGAGAGCAGCTCCATAGCTTCTCTCAGTTGTCCTCTTGTAAAGAGGGACTGATTGCAGAAACTCATCTGTGTACTCTTTTGGTTTGGGTCCATTTTTGCCCAGCTTCTTGCTTCTGACATCTATCACATTCCCCATTGCCATTTGGGATTTTATTGTCTCTGAATAGCCTCTGAATTGTTGACCTGTGGACATTAAATTTGTTTGCTTGCTGTGTTAAAAATCCTCTTGGCAATCCCCCCCCCCCCAAGCTTCAACAGATAAGCATCAACAAGTTGCCTTTTCTGGGAAACAATGAGTTGTTTTCTACCTTTGTGTTGCTGCATTCCACCTTCATGCACATTGTTGTTCATGTTATTGTCTGCAGTCCCTTGCATGTTGTTTGCTTCAGCGTGTCCCATTATGTTTTCATCATTTAGCTTTTTATTATGTAGGGCAGCACATGAGTTAAGACTTAAAAGTCAGTGAGAGGAAAGAATCAAGGAGAGGCAATGAAATAGAGAGCATTGCCAGTTCCTAACATATAGAACTCTGATATTTGCATAATAGCACCAGCAATAGTTCAACTGATGACATTGCTAGTAGCTCTATCAGTTAGATTGATGACACCAGAAAAGCTGTATAGCCAAGTAGCCAACCTCACTATTTCAATACAAAGTCAAGAGCTAGCATTAGGTTGGTTTATTTTTTTTTATTTGCACGGAACGATCATAAGGTCTAGTGATTGGAGATAGATTTTCTATGTTCTACTGATTACACAAATTTGGCCAGCCCTGCCACCTACAGAAACAAAACAATTCAATTCCTATCTTTTTGTTTTGTTTTGTTTTGTTTTTTTTTTTTCAATTGTAGATATGACCAAAGAACACATACAAGGGAAATTGGAAGCGAAGGATTTAAAAATTATATACCAGAACCTTTTCAGTACTCTAAGAAAGAACAACAACATAATTTGGACCCTGTTTTTTCCCAAGATACTACATACGTAGTATATAAATCTTTATTAAGATCGAGTATGCCTAGATCCTAACAGCAAAGATAGTATTAGGAGACTGAATAAATGAAAGATTGTAAAGATTAAAAAGTACTTGTCCTAAACCAAAGGATCAAAACTACTGCTGTAAACTACACTCATTGCAAATGTATTAGATATATTACAAACTATTTCAAATTTATCAACTACCTGTTGTCTTCTGCTGCGTGCCTTCTCATCTGCATCTTTATTTCTAAGCTTTAGCAGTTGAACCTGACATGTCATACGATCACTGCTTCATTTCATGTCTCGGCCTTGTATGCTCCAAAGCTCACTAACAATATAAATCATTGTCGGTCTCTGAGCTCCTTTCTTTGCCACACATGCAAATGCAAGCTCTGCAACCCGTTGAATCTCATCTCTACTTGCTTGCTGCAATACCTCATTGTCGATCATATTTATCATACAATTCTTCTCCACGTTTGAAACAAACACATCCACCAAATCTGTACCACCTTTGGCCATCAAAAGGGGTTGCCTTCTGGTTAATAGCTCCAACATAAAAACCCCAAAGCTATAAACATCACATTTATCTGTCACTTCTTGAGTTTCTATGTATTCAGGATCAATATATCCTGGAGTCCCTTCAACAGGCCATTTTTGGGGAGTCTCCCCTGGTGTAATGGACACTGAGTAGCCAAAGCTCGATAATTTTCCATGTAACGATTCATCGAGTAGTATATTTTTTGAATTAACATCCCTATGCACCACTGGCTTTGACAAGGCATTATGCATGTAGGATAGTGCATATGCTGTATCAATTGCAACCCTCAAACGATCTGGCCACTTAATACGCTTGTTAGAAGCAATATCACCATGTAAACATCCAAAGATACTTCCACTTGATACGTATTCATACCACTAATATTGGTATAAATGTCTCAAGGCAACCACCACAGAGTTTTACCATGTTGTCATGATTCATCACAATAGTTGTTGAGGCTTCAGTTAAGAAGAGATCAATCAGTTCGGGATTTGGATCTCGCCCTAATGGGGTTTTAACGGCTACAAGACGACCTTCAAAGGTTGCTTTATAGTTGGTGCTATGAGCAGTAAAGCCAAGAATGAAATCAGGGTCAAAGTTGTCTGTTACCTTTTCGATTTCCCGGCTTGAGAAAATCTTCAGCTGCCCAGCACCTTTATGTTGGCCTTGGCTCAGTGCAATCTGTTTTTCCAGCAGAATTCCACCATTTTTGATAAAATATTCCTCCCTAGATTCAAACTTCGGCCTTCTCTTGTTCTTGTACTTGGTTTGAGTTTGACCCATCTATATCTTGATGAATGCTTCCTTGTTTTAGCCCAAAATTTCAATCAGCTTATGAAATCATATTGCCTGTGAAGCATAAAATTTGATTAGCATATCGTAAATTAACAAAACAAAACACAGATGATAGAAATTTGACTCTTGAATTAAAAATTTATGATAATAAATCAACCCGATTATTGACTTCAGACGAAATAGTGATCTACCTTTTGAACACATCTATACTTTTGGGAAAGTAAAAATTATTGAGGAATGGATGACAGAAAACTCCTTTCAGGGATTAAATTATCAGTGATAATATAGAAATCTACCGTAGACTTTATCTACTCTCTTTGGCATTTTATCAAATAGGTTTCATAATTTTTGGTTGCTGCAGGCCTTCAGCTCGTTTTATTTATATGAATAAAAACAAAATTGTATTCTTTCTCTAAAATATTACTTCATACACTAAATGATTACATGAGATTCTCACATTCTATACATTTATCAAAGCCACTAGTTCAGAGTGATGTGCAGCCATGGGCCATAATGTCATTTTAGATGATACATAAATTGCAATAATTTTACTTGTGGGTTTATTAATCTCAGAGACATTGAAACTTGAGGTCACAGAGAACTGTGATGTTCATAGCTTTCGGGGTTGTTAAGTTGGGGCGCTCGAGGAGGCCACTGCTTGTGAAACTAGGAAGGCCACAAACCTTAGCCTTTCTAGCTAAACTAAAAAGTGCAGGTAAGGGAGAAAGACAGCAAGAGCAGTATTACCACTTGATGACATTAACACAAGGTTTCACAAGGTATATAATCTCAATCTCCAAGTAAAACCTGGCAGAAATTGTACAGACATATGTATACGCAGTACTAGATTACTAGACACAAGCTCATTTCTGTCTCATTAAACACAACTCCAATGTTCATCCCCAATTCTAACATTACAGAACACAAAGTATATTCTCTGCATGTTTGCTCCATTAGATTGGCATGCTGTTGCCTTCTGCTGAGTACCTGAACTTATTATACCTTTCTGCATCATTCTTTCCAAAGCCTGCATCTTGAATATTTCCTAGTCAAGAAGAAAAAACATACACCCCTTAGCAAAGGCCCAATACATGTGGTCACTGTGGACATGAATACCAAACTACTTTTTTTTTGCACCAATACTAGATAGTAGAAACATATGTAAGAACAGCATTCTAGAAATGTCAAAATTTACCAGAAATGTCTTCTGCTGTGTGCCTTTCTCATCTGCATCTTTATTTCTGAGCTTGAACAGTTGAACCAACACAATTTCTGTTCCATTTCATGTCTCGTCCTTGTATGCTCCAAAGCTCACCAACAACATCAATCATTGTCGGTCTCTCAACTCCTTTCTTTGCCACACATGTCAATGCAAGCTCTGCAACCTGTTGAATCTCATCCCTGCTAGCTTGCTGCAAGACCTCATAATCGATCATCTCCATCATGCAGTTCTTCTCAACATTTGAAACGAACACATCACCAAGTCTGAGCCACCTTTGGCCATCAGATGGGGCTGCTTTCTGGTTAATAGCTCTAACAAGAAAACCCCAAACCTGTACACATCACACTTATCTGTTACCTCTTGAGTTTCTATGTATTCAGGATCAATATATCCTGGAGTTCTTTCAACAGGCCATTTTTGGGGAGTCTCCCCTGGAGTAATGGACACTGAATAGCCAAAGTTTGCTAATTTGCCACGTAGTGAAGAATCAAGCAGTATACTTAATGACTTGACATCCCTATGCACCACCGGCTTTAATAAGGCATTATGCAGATAGTGCATAGGCCGTGTCACTGGCAACCCTCAAACAATCAACCCACTTTATATGCTTGCTAGGTGCAACATCACCATGTAGATGTTAAGAGAGTAGGCCTCCATTGGGTAAGTACTCATGCACTAAAAAGTATATGTGTCTCAAGGCAACAACCATAGAGTTTTGCCATATTGTCATGGTTCGTCACCATCATAATTGCGGCTTCAGATAAGGTATAATCAACTAGTTCGGGATCTGGCTCTGGCTGAAATGAGACTCCCATGATTAAATGACGATCTTCAAAGGTTGCTCTATAGATGCTTTTATGAGCATTACTACCAACAAGAAAATTAGGGTCAAGGTTATTTGTAGCCTTCCTGATATCCTTGAGTGAGAATATTTTCACCTGCCTTATTCTATATTTTGACCTTGACTCTGAGCAATTTGTTTTTCCAACAAAATACCTCCATTTTTAATGAAATACTCCTCGGAATTAACTTTGGAGTGTATGTGGATCTTGGCCTTCCTTATTTTAGCTTGAGCTTGGCCCATCTATTAAGGACTTGATTTTGGGTCAATCTGTACCCCTGGCTATCACATTTACTGCTAGAGGAGAGAGTTGTTGGCATAAAAAAAATAAAAAATAAAAAACAGATATTTGACAGTTTTCCCAAATATTTCCAGATGTTACATGACAGATATTTGACAGACCTACTTGACATTCAACAGATGGATACACGTCACATAAAGGAAAGCAGGAGATTAACTTTGGGGCGGAGGGATTATGATTATCACTCAATTCCCACCATTTTTTGTAAGATAAACTGGTAGGAAAACAGTAAAACAAGCAACAAACAGCATTACTCTTAAGTTTGCTTTGAACTTAACTCTCCATTTAATCATGAAAACTTATCATTCCTCTATTACCAGTGCAATTGTGTAAGAGTGAACTGTTGATTGTTTTGAACTCTGTCTGTTCTCAGGCAAGTTGATTATAAAGGAGCTCTAAGATTGCTGCAGATGAGAGATTGTTATAAAAAGTTATATTTTCTGTATTGAGGGGTTGGGAGCCAGATAAGAGGCAATGCCTGAAATGAGACCACATGGATGCTGGAGTGAGATGATATTTGGAAAGACTAATCAAAAGAGTAAGACTTTTCAACATAGAAAAATCAAACTATTATTGGTTCAACAAAACTATGCCAAATATAGAGATATACAAAGTACAAAATAATTCCGAATTAAGGATGGATTTGATGAGTTCTCCACAATATCCTGAAGCAAACCAATTTCTGTCTTTACTAATTCGAATGATGGAAATCATTCAGCTAGAGCAGATGACATTCAGAATTTGATAAAGCAAGGATTTGACAATTTAACATACAAGGCAAATTGGAAGCATCGCCATCTAGAAACATACCAGCCCTTCTTCAGTGTTTAAAAGAAGAGCAACAGCAGACAGAACCTGTTTTTTTTTTTTTTCTTTTTTTTTCTCCTACATATATTAAGCTAGATAAAGAGCAACCTAAAATCTGAAAATTCAGGCAGTTTTAATAGCAGACTATAGAGATAAAAGATTGTGAAGAATACATGTTCTAAACCAAAGGACCAAAACTACAAGTTTATCCAAAGAAAATGACTGCCTTTTGATATATACTAAATACAAATGTAAAAAGAACATTCTAGTGCTCAATTTTAAGTACTCCGTGTCTCCATATGTGTTAAACTACTATTAAACTAACAATCACCTGTTGTCTTCAGCTGTACGCCTTGCTCTTCTGCATCTTTATTTCTAAGCTTGAACCAGACATGTCAAACACAATTTCTGTTCCATTTCATGTCTCGTCCTTGTATGCTCCAAAGCTCACCAACAACATCAATCATTGCCGGTCTCTCAGCTCCTTTCTTTGCCACACATGTCAATGCAAGCTCTGCAACCTGTTGAATCTCATCCCTGTTAGCTTGCTGCAATACCTCATTATCGATCATCTCCATCATGCAGTTCTTCTCCACATTTGAAACGAACACATCCACCAAGTCTGTGCCACCTTTGGCCATCAGAAGGGGCTGCTTTCTGGTTAATAGCTCTAACATGAAAACCCCAAAGCTGTACACATCACACTTATCTGTTACCTCTTGAGTTTCTATGTATTCAGGATCAATATATCCTGGAGTTCCTTCAACAGGCCATTTTTGGGGAGTCTCCCCTGGAGTAATGGACACTGAATAGCCAAAGTTTGCTAATTTTCCACGGAATGAAGAATCAAGCAGTATACTAAGTGACTTGACATCCCTATGCACCACCGGCTTTAACAAGGCATTATGCAGATAAGATAGTGCATAGGCCGTGTCACTAGCAACCCTCAAACAATCAACCCACTTTATACGCTTGCTAGGTGCAACATCACCATGTAAACTTTGAAAGAGGCCTCCATTTGGTAAGTACGCATACACTAGTACTGGTATATATGTCTCAAGGCAACAACCATAGAGTTTTACCATATTGTCATGGTCCATTACCATAGATGTTGAGGCTTCAGTTAAATAAAGGTCAATCATTTCGGGATTTAGCTGACTTAAATCTAGATGTGGTGGGGCTTTGACAGCTACAATACGATCTTCAAGTGTTGCCTTATATACGGTGCTATAAGAACTGCTGCCAACAATAAGATCAGGGTTATAGCTATCTGTAGCCTTTTCGATTTCCCGGCTAGAGAAAATCTTCAGCTGCCCAGCTCCCTTATGTTGGCCTTGGCTCAGAGCAATTTGTTTCTCCAGCAAAATTCCTCCATTTTTAACAAAATATTCCTCCTTGGATTCCAACTTAGGCCTTCTCTTGTTCTTGTACTTTGTTTGAGTTTGACCCATCTATACCTTGATGAATGCTTCCTTAATTCGGCCCGATTTTTCGCTCAGCTCATGAAATCTTATTGCCTGTGAACTGTAAACCCACAAAACACAGATGATTAATTGAGTTACCTTTTTAAGTCTAAAGAATTACACACCATTGCTTATGACATATGAACCCCTTTGACTAATCTCTTCGTTTGGGCATTTTAACAAACAGGTGGTAGGCATATAAAAACTAATGAGATACAGTTGGTATATCTCACCATTATCAATAAAAAAATCCTCCCAAGAATAAAACATTGAACAATTTTATTACAGTAGTTCTTGAACTTATTCTTGTCTCTTTGATGGAATTTGTTTGGGGATAGCTTCCTGTGCTTGTGCAAATCAATAGAAAGACAATTATGATCTTCTGGGTCAGGTTACTACGTTCCGTAATTAATTGTCACTTTGATACATATATACTCGTAATAATTTAAATAGATGAATTAGTGAGAGCTTCAAGATTAAAGCTTTAGCTAAACACGTGACAATGTTAGGGACTCAGTATGTGTTGATGAAACTTACCTTTGAGGACTTTGACTTTCATGTATTTCTGTTGTGGCATTTTAACAAACACATTCTAGGCATTTTAACTTTGAAGATGTAACAAATTTGGGAGACTGAGGATTTAGACTTTGGACAAGCAAAGAATGAATACCAATGACATAAGGTGATAAGGGGGGTGCTTTGAAAAATTCTGTTGACTATGTTGAAATTTGAATGCCCTATAAAAGTATAAATTACTCGTAGTTTACTATTCAATGACTACTCACCAACATATAATTGATTAATGTAATAGAGTTTGTACTTGTATTATACAATGCATTATTAAAAAAAAAAAAAAAAAAAAGTTGTTTGTTCATTACATACAAGAATCATAAGAGATTCAAAATATGAGATAGAAATTGTCTAAGCTATTACATGACTTTAAAAAGAGATTAATATAATGAAGAAAGAGATAGAGAGAATCATTGTCCAAATAAACTAACGTGTAACTTTTCTAAAAAAAAAATGTACGAACTGGGTACTGTAGTATATACTACATTGAATAAAATAAAACAAAACATACATCATTAATTAGTCAAAGGAGACTTTAGAGTGCCATCCTTTTGTTTACTCAATGCTTTGATCTTGCATCAGCCAAAGCTCTCTAACTACTTCAACCATTGTCGGTCTTTGTACTCCTTCCTTTGCAACACATTTCAATACAAGTTGTGCAACCCTTTGAATATCATCCCTACTCGCTTGTACCAAGACCTCACTGTCTATGATCTCCATCATACAATTTTTTTCCACCATAGAAACAAACACGCTTACCAAGTCAATCCCATTTTCGGCCATAACACAGGGTGGCCTTCTGGTTAGCAGCTCCAACAATAAAACCCCAAAACTATATACATCACATTTATCTGTCACCTCCCGAGTCTCTACATATTCGGGATCAAGATATCCCGGTGTTCCTTTGACAGGCCATCCCTTGGTATTCTCCCCTGGAGTAATGGACACTGAGTAGCCAAAGTTTGTTAATATGGCACGGAATGAATCATCAAAAAATATACTCAATGATTTCACATTTCTGTGCACCACTGGCTTTGGCAAGGCAGTGTGCATATAAGATAGGGCATAGGCTGTACCAGTTGCAACCCGCAAATGATCGATCCATGTTATAACACGTTTGTTAGATGCTATATTAGTATGTAAATGATCAAAGAGGTTTGCACAAGGTGGAAATTCATAAACTAGTATTGGTACAAAAGTCTCAAGGCAACAACCATACAGTTTTATCATATTGTCATGATTCATCACCATCACTGTTGAGGCTGCAGTCAAAGAAAGATCTCTCAATTCGGGCTTTGGTTCTGGCTCAAATGGGGCTTTGATTGCTACAGCACGATCATCGATGGTTGCTCTATAAAGGATATATTTATTACCATCAGTGCCAGACAAATAATTAGGGTTATAGTTGTTTGTAGCCTTTTCAATATCCTTGCTCGAGAAAATCTTCAGTTGCCCAACTCCCTTATGGTGGCCTTGGCTCAAAGCAAATTGTTTTTCCAACAAAATACCGCCATTTTTAATGAAATATTCCTCCTTTGAATCAAACTTTGGCTTTCTCTTGCTCTTGATCTTGCCTTTCGTTAGAGTTTGCCCCATCTGATGTAAGGGACCTAAATACAATGAAACTTTTGACATTGTTGAGCATGACATATACTTCAAATTTGATACAAATATTTCAGAACTTTAAACGTGATTATCAACCTGTTTTATAATGAAACTTACCTTTGACACACACAATCCCAAGGAAAGAGGATCACCCAAGCAAGATGAATTGACAATTTGGCTGCTGCTCTTTTAATGTAGGGGCTAAATTGACATTGCTCTTTTCATGCAAGTCACACTGGTCTAATCTAATAATCGATACATGGCTAAATATATCCCAAGACAGACCAAAATTTGTACAAGGTGTGTATTACATACGACACATATATGGTTTTACCACGGTTTTACCACGCTGAAGAAAGAGAGACAATTGTCATAAAAAATGCTACTCCGTAGATGAATAGACAACTTGACTGCCCAGCTTATTCAGAAATCAGAACAGAGGAACCCAGCATTTTTCAGGTCATACAAGTCAAGTGGTCAACCGTCAACCTTCTATTGGAACCAAGTATATATATACAAGTAGTACACTACGTAATTATTTTATGATAGGTTATGTTGTGTAGGGAATTCAACATAGTGTAAAAAGAAAGTAACAAGTCAAACTTATTATCAACGGCAGACCTACATGTAACAGTGATGTGTTAATAGTTAACAGCCTTAATAACTATATAAATACGTGTTAAATGTGTTATACATTCAGTGAACAGACATTGCATCCACACAATAGGATTTGAGACCATCCAACTTGCGCTGCATACAAAACAAATAGAAAATTAATCTTCACTCTGGTTGACGAGCACCAATTTATAATAAACAATAACACTCAGTAGGGATCTAAACTCACAAAGTTGTGACAGTTTGAGTATTAAAAAGATAAGATAAAAAAAATTAATAACGTCTATCTTATATATTACTTAAATATATAAAGTACATAATTAATTATGTCACAAGCAATTATTCTAATTAGAAGACTTAAGTGTTAACTGAAACATCCATAAATATAACAATAGTCCTAAATTCTTGATACAGCAGTCATTATTTAGCAACATCTCAGGCATCCAGTAAAGCCTCCACTTCATCCCAATCGTTAACCATCATAATGAAACCTGGGTTAAGCATATGTTAGAAGACTGGGTGGGATAACAAACATTAATGCCTTCGGAATGAGTAGCTAGAGGTCCATTTCAGTCTTGCAGCTCTGGCAATTGATACAAACAAAGCACATTGACCTAAACAAATCAATCCTGAGGCGAACAAGAAAGATTAAACTGTCAACAAATAGCCATTGCTATATCCATGCCCAACTCTTTTGCTATGCATCAGGAAGGAGAAAGAAATCCCCTGATCTTAATACCTCAAGCATTCAAATCTGAGCAATGGCTTCAACTGTGAGCTCTTCTAGTTTCCTGATTCATACAGAAACTGAGAATGGCACAAGAGATACCTCTTGATAGTTGTTCAAATATCCGTCAACTCTTTATCCATACCAACTTTAACTCACTTTCCCCGAGAAATGCCATCTTTTGAAGCTGGTATACCCAGAGCATGAGCAAACATTCTTTTTGCAGCTCCCATGTTTTCCTCTTTCATACACATTTTAGAGATGACCAACCCATTCCTTCCACTAGGTCTATGACCACTGCCAGAAGAGTTCCTATCTGATGCCTCCGGAAGTAAGATTCCATGAGCAGCAGGCAAACAGTCACCTTCGTTATAACCTTCTGCACTAATGCATTCAACAATTTTGTCAGGGCTAACACTGGAGTCAGGGGAGGATTTGTGGTGCAAATTTAAATCATATTTGATACTTCTTTCAAGGTCATCCACAATGGCTTGCTCATTAGAATGTCTAGCATCATAACCTTGGTCCTGATTGCAATGATCAATTCTTTGGCCAAGTGCATGGGCAATCATGCGACGGGCAACAACAGGAACATTTCTTGGCCTTTGTCTTGCAGCTTCTTTTGCCTGAACTTCGTCCATACCAAATATGCGTTCACGTGCAGCTAGATAAGCTGCTTCTCTCTCAACAAAATTTGGGGAAGAGGGTAAATTCATCTTCAATACTAAAATGAACAGGAAAGGAATTTAATACAGAATCTGATAAGAATGTTCCACACTCCTGAATATGTTACATGGAACCAGATACTAAAATTGTGAACAGATCCATAAAAAAAATTCTATTTAAAAGACAAAAGCCAGAAAATAAAGCGCACTAAGCACAGAGGGCAACAAGAGAGTAAAAAAGCACTCTAACTAAACAACCACATTTGAGTGTATATATGCAAAGTCAAGGAAACATGCAATGCTACACTTGAAGCTTATGGGCCTAAGGCTCCAACTATACAAACAAGCAAAAAAAACAGTCCATATACAATTGCTCTAAAATGACTAAATTTTGAATAGAAATAAACAAAGAATCTTATTCAATTCTACTACAGAAGATGAGATTGTATCACCGACTCATCACTTCATTAACTATGACACAATCATGCAAAAAGGAAAGTGAAGTTTCAACCCTCAACTCATCAAAACACAACCAAAGATCAGGTAAGTCAGTCAAGCTTTATCTCTCTCAAAAACCAAGCAAAGGCTAACAGGCTAAGTCTTAATAATACCACTGTTCAACCATATTACCTTTCTCTGTTTTCAAAGATTTATTAAAATACTTGTGAAGAAACAGCCACACATTTTTATCTTTATTACTATGATTAGTGAAACAGGATCTCAACTCATTAAGATTGAATGACCTGAATTTACCAACAGTAATAATATGAATCATGTTCAACTGTTAGGAACATAGGATTATAAGCTAAATCCTGTCACAGAAATTCAAGTATAAGATAACTGAAGATCATCTGAAATGAAATTACCATCAGATAAAATTGTAGCTATGACTTATGAGAGGGATGGACTTTGACCTCAGACAAATAGGCAAATTATACTATAGATCAAGGTAATGTTATAAAATAATTATCAGTAATCAATTGATGAACCTCTAGGAAAAATGGGAGGGGAAAATTTACCAGTGCATTCATCATCTCTTCTCAATAGTTGGTAAGGCATTGAAGGAGAGTCACATGCCCCATATTGCCAGAGAATATCACTAACAAGGATAGAAGGTCTGCAAATTCAAAGATTCTTTCAGCTTAATCAGTATACATCATAGAAGATCCATAGTAACTAAACTTCACATTTAACTACAACAGAACAAGGCAGATATATAACAACAAACCATTTCAATTTGAGATTTAGATCTACAATGCAAGTGTAGAATATGCAGGCTCTAAAATAGATAAGCATCCCAACTCGTAATTCTTAAACAATAAATCCCACACATCAACAAGAGAAAGTGATACCAAAAGACAGCTTGAAATTGAAAGCCAAAAAAAGCCCCAATGAGTATTTGAAATAACAAAGATCATCACATACATTGATGTCTCCAAGCATTGCTGCAGAACCAAGTGACGATCATTTCCCTCACCTACAGATTCGTGAACAAATCTAGAAAAACCAAACAATACATCAGTACCAGACCAAAAAAAAAAAAAAAGAGAGAAAATTATTAATAAATAATAAGATTCATAACATACCCAAAAATGTCAGCAAGACGATGTATGATAAGGCGGTTGTATGAACTCATGGGCTCCAGCTCAAGAATTCCACCTGGACTGTAAAAAATACCATTCCAATTACCAATTACCAATTACCGATCATGATAATATACTACCTACACCTCTACTGCCATACATGCTATACACGTCACAACCACATCCCTTTTCTCCCCAATGCCAAACAAAATAATCACCCCTCACGGCCATTAATGAAATCATAAACTTTGATTACTTCATAATTTAGTAACTTAAAAGTATGCAAGCACCTTTACCAAGTATAAAGATGTTTAACTGCATTAAAAGTAACTATTTCAAAGTGATAATACACTTGAGAAAATAGCTGCAAAGCCTGCAATTCCATGCCAAAATGGGGAAAAAAGACAGAAAGCTATTATGTAAACTAAATTCAAAAGATTAAATGCATAGATTTATAGGTCATATAATAATGGAAGTCAGCAGTGCCTATAACACAAAGTATTATCATGACATATAGAAGTGCATGAATCAAGTTGAGAAAAGTGGTCAGCAGGGCATAATGGTGGCATAAGTATCAGTAATCGGAATATAAAAGAAAAAAGTGCTGCTGGATGCCAGTAACACAAACTTCCATCTATTGGTACCAAACCATCTAAAACAATACAAAGAAGTTCGAAATAAAAACCTCCGATCATCCTGAAGGTAATTAACCAAGGCTTCTTCAACTGCAAGCACAAGATGTCTGCTTGAATAGTTATCTTTTATAAGCGAACCAAGCTCCTCAACCTGCAAGTATGACACAATTAAAATGATGGAAAAGCAGCATAAACAAATGCAAGCATCATTGAAAGGAATATAAAAATTATTAAAGACTTCACAAGTTTAAATGTTTAATACTTAAGATGTTAGTCGCAGATAATGCATTTTACATATACTTCACTTCAGAACCATCAATTTAGAACTTAAACATGTGGTCCAAAAACTAGAATCTTGCTTTAAACAGGTCAAAATAATATCTACTTCACAATCTACTATTCAAAGCTTCAAAGCAACAAAAATCCAATTAAAACCTAAGCTCGGCACAGACCGACATCATAAATAAATATGCACGAATAATATGTGGGTAACAATAGAGCTGCAATCAACAACTAAATGGCTGACTTACAATTGAGCACACAAAGGGGAGAAAAAAAAAGCAATTGCAAACTAAAAAGGCCACCAAATTCCCTTAATTCTATAATTGGTAAAGATCTTTACTTTCATATTCTTTAGCCTAGGAAACTTGGGAATTATTTGCCAATTGATATATTGAAAGAGGTCTACTAAACAGGAATCAATCAACTACCAACGAAAGAAAAAGGTTACTAATTCAGGGAATTACCATTAATCATTGATAATAGTGAAATTGTTATACCTAATTTACAAATTTATCAACAGTACAACCGATTTCAAATTCAAATTAGAACAAATCTTAAACAAAAGAAAATATGCACAAAACTGATGATGGAGAGAAAAGAAAAGGAGAGAGAAAGAGTACCATAGCAAATTGAGTTATACTCATCGTGGAATTCTGCTCAGAAATAATTAGAAGTCAGGAGGTTGAATTGGGGAAGAAATTCTGTGGAAGTCGGAAACCCTAGAATTGCTCTGGTTTTTTTTGTCGGAAATCGTCCTCATGAAAACAGAATCTGAATTTGTGGGTTGTTTGACACTTTGACCCTTTCCTATTCAACCGCCAATATCACTGTTGATTTTTCTTTATCTTTTTCCTTTTTCTCCCGGCAAAACGTCAAACGTACATTCCCGCAATTGCTGCTGTATTCCTTAGGTAGGTATGAATTGGGGTAAGTGAGTCGGGTTTTGTTAGGTCGGGTCACTTTGGTATCCGATCAGGCGATCAATATTAAAATTATTAAATAGAGGTGATTATTGGGCGGGCCGGAGCTAAAAAATTATGCCCACTTATCGGGCCGGGCCAAGCTTCGAGCGGAATTTTTGTGCCCAAATCTGCCCAAAATGGTCGGGCCGTGCGGGCTTTTCATGCTGGGCCTAAAAAATCAACTAAATATACATAAAAACGCATTTTCAAACCCGCCCAAAAAAAAATTCGGGACGGACCGGGCCCAACCCGATTTCAGGCCAAAAAACACGCCCAAAATCGGGACGGGCTAACTTTGATCACCTCTATTATTAAAAAAAAATTAATTTATTTTTTAAATTTTGTTAATTTTGTCCAATAAGATAGTGACACGTGGATCCTTAGTTGGAAAATAGGTCGAAATAGAGGAGGCGGTGATGATAGCTACTGATTTTACGTTTTGAGGTGGTATTTTTAATTTCGTAAAAAAAAGCGGTTAATTTGAAAAATGGTGTATTGGAGGTGGTTTTTTTTAAATATAAAATGTCATTATTTATTTACTCCGTATTTATTTTTCAAATTTTAAGCAAACAGAATTAAGAAGATTTTAACAAAATTCAGTAATACGAGTGGAGTACTACTAATAAGACTAAGGTGAAGCGAACAAAACTGAACTCCACTAACACAAGATAGCTCAAGTGGTTAGAATTAGGGATGTCAATGGGGCGGGGAGGGACGGGGCGGATGTTGGCCTTCCCATCCCATCCCATCCCTACCTAAAATTTTCATATCCATACCCATCCCCATCCCCGCTGCGGGTTTAAAATTCATCCCATCCCTGCCTTGGCGGGTACAACTTCAAAACCATCCCCGCGCCCGCCCCTCACTTGGATATCCACCCCCATCTAATTCCCACCTAAGACCCGTCTAATCCCCGCCTTCCAAATACATAATCCTTCTTAATTAATAAAGATTACAAAAAGAAAAAATTATTATTAATATTACACATTTTTTATTTATAAATAAGTGTATTACAAAGTATTATATTTACTACATTATTTTACATAATTTTTTTTTATAAAATAGTATAAAAGTATATAATTTTGTTTTTAAAAATATATAGATGTGGGTATTGGGCGGGTACGAAGTGGGGCGGGTGGGAATGGAGCGTAGAAGTGGGGCGGGTACAACCTAATATCCACCCCCACCCCATCACCCATGGCGGGTATGGTTTTTATCCTCATCCCCGCCCCATCACCCATCAAACCAAGACCCATCTCCGCCCCAATTGGGGCGAGGATGGAGCAGATCTCTTATTTGACCCGTCACACTAACATCCCTAGTTATAATTTTCTTCCCAGTCCTCCGGATTGATTCTCATCACTCGCCACTCGCCTCTCCAAACCAAAAAAAAAAAAAAAAAAAAAAAAAAAAAAAAAAAAGATTTTACTCCGAATGTGAAAATAGTGTAATTTCTTATTGAAATCTTCCTGATTGTTAACTAAAAATCCCTCAAATTCGTCGAAAGTACTCCGTAAATATTTCTATTGTTATGAATTCACAATCACCATCTATTACTCTCCATTTAAGGGGATGGAAAGAAACATAAATTAGCATTTTCTTAATAGGTGAGTTGCTTTGACAATTGCGTTGATTATCGGAAAATACTGCCTTAATTCTTTTCGTATTTCCACTTAATCTTTGATTAGTCTATTATAGTTGCGTATCTAATTACAAAAGGTCGCTTGATTTCCAGGTTTGATAAAATTGCCAAAAAAATAGCATGAACTTCTGGCTTCTGCGCGCCAACTGTTTGATGAAATGCCTGAAAGAGGTATGTGAATATGCCACTGCATTAATGCTAGTATGTTATTATTTCATTATTTTTTCTTCCTTGTTTCATGTTTTTCTATTTCTTTTTTGGCATTGTTGTTTTTGTATTTCTTTGAACTATTTATAGATTGTTAAATGTTTTACTTATAAATGAATCTTATATATATACTCAACAAGATTTGCACTTTTCTAATTCATCCAATTGATTTTATGAGTTTTTAAGTTTATTTGACAAATTTCGTAACAATTTGAGGAACAATATAGGAATGCAAGACATATTGATCTGTATTGAGTACATGTATTTTAAAGAAGAAATGATAAATGATAAGACTTCCTTCAACTTGAATCGAAAGTGTAAGTAGCAAATGTCGAAGATATCAGTGTCATCTGGGACTGAATGACCGAGGCAGTTCACTAGGACTGGAAGAACTATTTTCTGGGGAAGGGCCATGTTTTACTATTTCAGTCCACACTTCTTGGGACTTTGGCCATTTTGGAGTATTTGTTTGAGGCAATTGATGTGATCTGACCACTTCTATTTCTTGTTGAACTTCGTTCATGGTGGGTCTTTTCTTTCCTTCCAAGTTTAAACACCTCATTGCGAGATTGGCAATAACAAGGAACTCTTCCTTTGAAACCTCCTCTATGATTTGAGGATCTATAATGTCCAGCAATTGAAAATTTTTCATGTGGGAATGGAACCATGAAATTAAACTTCTGTCTTCTTCATTAGTTGTGCGTAGAGGCTTTTGTGCAGTTAAAAGCTCGATAAGAACCACTCCAAAACTATAAACATCACTTTTTTCTGTATATTGGCCTAAGTGAAAGTATCCTGGATCCAAATAACCAAACGTTCCCATAAGACGAGTAGTTGCATGGGTTTGATCAATAGCGACTAATATTGAAGTCCCAAAATCTGATATTTTTGCCCTGTATTTGTCATCCAACAATATATTGGACGACTTGATGTCTCTGTGAAAAATAGGATTAGAAGATGATGAATGCAAATAAGCTAGTGCTCCGGCTGAATCAGAAGCAATTTGCAGGCGCATTTTCCAAGTGATTGGAAAGTCCTCATTTGGATTATGAATATGATGGAAGAGATTTCCATTTTGAATAAACTCATAAACTAGTAGTGGAACTTCTGTTTCCAAACAACATCCTAATAACTGAACTATATTCCTGTGGTTAATCCGTGATAAGATTACCATTTCATTGATGAACTGTTGTAACTCTATTTCGTTCACTATGTTTGTCCTCTTTATGGCAACAAGTTTTCCTTCACTCAACATTCCTTTATACACAGTGCCATGGCCACCTTTTCCATGTATCCTGTCCTTGTTAAAGCCATCAGTAGCTCTGTATAACTCATCAGCAGTGAAGATTTTCATCCCTGCTATAACACTTTCACTACAAGAAATTTGTTGCTGTAACAACATGCCACTGTTACGCTCCAAGTTTTTTCTTTTTTGCAGAATTTGTTTTCTTTGTTTAGTAATTGCATACAAAAACCACCCAGCTAGGAGCAGAAGTATTGTTCCCAGGGATGTGCCAAGTCCTGTGGTATAGGTTGCAAAAAATGCACGTATGATCAATAACTATGATTTCTTGAGCTAATTCATTTGCATCTAATCTTATAAAATAAACTAAAAATTCTTACGAGTAGCTGTAATGTTGTATACAGCTAAGTTACTCCTTCCCTTCTCCAACAAGTGTTATTAAGTCTATTAGTGAAAATAAAAGTATCAAAATTCTAATATCCCTTCATTTTCATGTTTCTAATGAATAATAGACAAGACATAAGAAGAAATCAATCTTGTTCGGGGCGTATTAGTTAAATTTAAACCCACAAGATGTTCTTAAGTAGTATGCCTATCTTTCTACAGCTGATTACTCTTTGAATACATAACAGAGAAACAATTCAATTTGTTGCCTCACCATTCTAAGTGAAAACATAAATTATAACTTCTAGGTAATCAGAATTTGGATTCACCAGGAAGCTACAAAAACACGCATTTATGTATGTTTAAGCAATTAAGCTTAACATCTTCATTTGTCTCATTGATTGGGTCACCCATGCTTGTGATTTAAGATTTTTGTTCTCTTCACTTTATTCTTATTGCTTGTAGTTTATCTTTGTTAAAATCAAACTAGATCAAATTAGATGAAAAAATTCAGGTTTGACTAGAAAAATCAGACCAATGTAGAAATAATCATGAAGAACCAGACTTAGACCAAACATGAAAATTAGACTAAATCAGAAACTCACACACCAGGTTCAGACTAGACCAGAACTTTAATAAATTTAGGTGAAAATAAACACCTTTAGGTGAAGAGAACATAGCCTGACATTGTTGTTGTACCGACATGATTGAAGAATGAAGTCAGATTAGAAAGACTGTTCCGGATATTTCCTTATTGAAGTGGTTAAATCTCTATCCACTTTCCACCGTTCCAGATAGATAAAGGTCTCACTTAAATATGTTTTTTGTTACTTTGGTTGAAGGACCAATCATTATGAGTGTTCCTAAGTAGACTTTAATTGCTTGTGGTAAGAAGCCACTTAGGGTGGCTTTGTTTTGTCAGATCAATTTTGATATTTATATCCACACTGGTTAGAAATAATGTGTAGATTTTAAGTTTAAAATTGAAAAATTTCAGGATTCCCCCTTTACCTTCAGGTTTAAATATGTTCATAATTTTATCTCTAAACTATATGACTGTAACTAGTATTGATCCTGAAAAAAAAACCCAGTATTGATCCTCTTAGGAAGTGGGTGGTGAATGTCCTGGAATATGGAGTTAAAACAATAATCAACATACTAACATATTATCTACATGGAATTTATGAGTTTTTGGAAAATACGAAAAATATAGGTGAAGATAAATAATTATAGAATCTTGGTTTGTTGTCTTGTTGTAATCATCTTTTGCTTTTGTAAAAACTTGAATGTAGTTAATCTAGTTATGCAGCCCTAGAGCATCATTCAATGTCTTTTTAATGTCGCATTGTCAGTAAAATTTCACTTTGACAGTGTCAACATTTAGGAAGGACTTATTCTTTAAAAGTCAGATGAATTCAGAAATTACCAATTATGACATCTTTGAAGCTGTTTTCTGAAATCTTCACACAGCCAGCTCTAGACTTGAATCCGTCACCAGAATATCCAGTTGGGCAAGAACATCTGTAACTCCCTGGAATATTTTTACAGTCCATGCTACATGGGCTATTTGAACCAGCAGCACACTCATCAATATCTGGGAAAAAAGCAATTTGGTTGTTAAAATTTGAGTAACCATCAAAAAAAGAGCAGGGAAAACAGGGCAAGTCTGATAAAGTATGGGGTACCAACCTGTGCAACCTGGTTCTAGGTAAGGATTGCCCTCGTAGCCAGAACGACAACTGCAGTGATACTTTCCCCCATCTGATTCAACACACTCACTATTTGACTGACAAACATACGTAGTAGTGTTCTTTTTCGCCTCTTTGCAGGAAGCACTACGTTCAAAAGCCCAATCAAGCACTACAGGGACTCTCTGCATGGTTCTCTTGAATACTGTGCCATTTGGTGTCAAATCTGAAGCCCCGCTAAAACTGAAGCTACCCTCTCTAGCAAAGAAAGCGTAGGTACAAGGCTGAAGTTCACTAATTGTTTTATTATGGGGATTTTCAAAGAACCTGTAAAGATCAATTTTGAACTTTTGCAAGCCAACTGGGACGGATGTCTGGCAACAACCTAAACCTGAACAAGATCCTGGGATCACCTCATTTGTTTTATCTGGCTCAGCACACATTGCCATGCAACCAGCCCCATAATAAAAGGGAGTCTCATGAGACTGATTCCCTCTATAAACACCAATCATTGCATAATCATTACAGCCAATAACTGTGAGCTTGTTTGCTGTGTGTGATATAGTAAAGGGAGAACCCACTATGTTTAAGTCCCCGAATCTCTCTGGGATCTCATTCACCTGGGATCTGTAGCACTTGGATGCTATCTTATTCCGAATCACTACTTCGGTCTCTGTTATTTCCACGATTTCCCTATCTTTTAAATCAGGGGGTGTCTCAAGGAAGGATTTCGGTGGGTTGTAGGTGTTGTCACATTTGATCATGAACCAGGCATCAAGTGCGCATTCTGGACCAATGCCAAAGGGGTATGGGATGGTTAGATTGCCACACTCCCTCTGACAGCCTTGTTTGGTGGTGTTTCTTGCTGTGAGCATGTTTTTAGGTATTATAGCTGTGTTGTTGCTGGCAAGAGTGGCTAGTGCTATGGCTTTCATTGAGACCAGCAAGAGGAAGAGGAGAAACCATGGAACTGAAAGACTCATTTTTACAATCCTCAAAGTTCAATTACCAAGTTCTCCATTGACAAATCTATTACTTGCATTGATAAAATCAATTACCTCAGTTAGAAAACGTCCATTGTGCAGAAATTGTCCTGATTTAGCATATACTATTTGTGTATGGTAACATCGTGCGTGACTTGAAATAAGAACACTTCTCTCATAGAGCAACTTGACATCCGAAGAATACTTCTATCTTAGAGCTTGAGTTGCTTACAAAATATAATTGCTCTTGGTCACAGAAAATTTCATAATTCATGTAATACACAAAGAAAAGGAAATAAAAGAAACAGCCTGAAGTTCTTATTTGCCATATTGTTATAATAATGTGATCTGTTTTCAGAGACTGAGCTTCACTGCACCACTTGGTTATTTTATTTTTATCTATTTGAATAAAGATAAGTATGCCTTCATGACGCTTTAGACAATTGAAGCACTCTATACTTTTCACAGGATTGGCTGTGCACTAGCAAATATTAAATTTGTTTATGGATAGAGAATATACGTAAAACAGTCTTCTCTAAGGTTTGAGTTATTTAATTTTTGTAAAATAACATTCTTAAAATATCTTGTTGGTTTCTTAAATTAGGATTATCATTCTAGCCTTATACTAGATATATAATGAATGTTTTCTCAAAAAAAAAAAAAAAAAAAAAAAAAAGATATATAATCAATGAGTAACAGTTTTATAAGAAAAGTAAAGTTTAGTACTCAGATTTTTTATCCTGAACCTATACTGGCTTGAAGGGGGGGGGGGGGGGGATAGCTAGATAGCAACGATAGTTAACTCGTTTTATTTTCATATATGGAGTACTTGCTAATAAGGTAGGCTTAACCCAATACAGTGCACACTGCACAGACTTGTTCACAAAGATGTTATGGTCATTTCACATGGTGTAAAGATGGTAAATAATTACATAACAACTTAAGAGTTCATTTCATTCAATTAGTATGAGACTAGAATTCCTAAGCTAGAATTGAAGATAAACAATAGTTAATTACGTAGATCTTTTCAGTTAAAATCTTTTCAACTGTTTTCCGGCCAGATTTTCCTAGTTTATAGTTTTTTCCCTTGAATTCTAGACTAACTGAAAGGCTATTCCATCGTCTATTAGACATGTAATTTTACCATTATCGAGGATTGAATAACAGTGACATTTCAGCAGAATTTAAAGAGCTATTCTCTGTGTAAAACGAGCTAGAACTTAAAATCCCATCATATGCATGTTTAGTTGTTCCAGTGTGCTCGGTTTCTAGGCCATTCTTTCGATTTCTTTCGGGGATATGAAGTGTCATTACTCCCTCTATCTCTATTAGAACTTCTTTCATGGTTGGTCTTTTCTTTCCATCCAAGTTTAAACACCGCCTTGCGAGATTAGCAATAATGTGCAACTCTTGCTCTGAACCCTCTTGTAGGACTTGAGAATCGATAATATCGAGCAAACCAGTATCATTCATATGGGAAAGGAACCAAGATGTCAAACTTCTGTCTTCTTTTAACGTAGCACGTATTGCTTTTTGTCCTGTTAAAAGCTCAACGAGGACTACTCCAAAGCTGTAAACGTCACTCTTTTCAGTGAATTGACTTGATTGAAAGTACTCTGGATCTAAATAACCAAAGGTTCCCATGACACGAGTGGTTACATGGGTTTGGTCTATAGAAATCGACATTGAAGTCCCAAAATCTGACAACTTGCCCCTGTATTTATCATCCAAGAGTATGTTGGAGGATTTGATATCTCTATGAAGGATAGGAATAGAAGATGATGAATGCAAGTAAGCAAGTGCTCCTGCAGAATCAGAAGCAATCTGCAATCGCATTCTCCAAGTGATAGGAAACTCTTCACTCGGGTTATGGATATGATGATGGAGAGTTCCATTTGGAATAAACTCGTAAACTAATATCGGAACTTCAGTTTCCAAACAACATCCTAGTAACTTCACTATATTCCTATGGTTTACTTGTGATGATATAACCACTTCATTGATAAAACCTCCTAACTGACTTTCATCAACCACTTTAGCCTTCTTTATAGCAACAATTTTTCCTTCACTCAACATTCCTTTGTAAACTGTTCCTTGACCTCCTTGTCCAATTATCCTGTCTTCATTAAACTGGTCTGTTGCTCTTTCTAATTCGTCAGAAGTAAAAATCTTTAGTCTTGCTACTACACTTTCATCAGTAGCCATCTGCTGTTTTAACAGCAACCCGCCATTCCGCTCGAAGTATACAGCCTTTTGCTTGACGATCCTTCTCCTTTTGATAACAGAAGAAAACCACCAACCAACAAGGAGCAAAATTATTGTTCCCAAGGATATTCCTAATCCTGTAGTTCACACAAATAAAGATTAAAATTATTACATCATTACCTCCGTTACAAAACACAATGATTTTTTCCTTGCATCAAAAACAAAAAACAAAAAAAATTTCAATGCCTATGGCATAATCGCTTGACATGTTCTGCAGTCATCTTTTAACCATACACAGATTAACAGATAAATTACCTAGAGTGATTTTCTTGAGGGAGGATGAGCTTTTGTCTAAATTCTTTATGCAGCCGATCCCAGATTTTAATCCGTCGCCAGAATATCCTCTGGGACAAAAGCATCTGTAACTCCCTGGGGTGTTAACACAGGCCGTGGTACATGGATTATTTGGACCAGCAGCACACTCATTGATGTCTGTGCGAAAGTTCAACAAAAATGGAGTGCTTTACTTAGAATCAAATTGAAAATTCTCCCTTTATATTAAGACTCAAAATAATTAGGACACAAACATCAATTCTGAAAATGCTGTAGACTGTACCTTTGCAACTGGATTGAAGATAAGGATTTCCCTCATAGCCAGGGAGGCAGCTGCAGCGATATCCTCCCAGATCTGTATCTATACATTCAGTATTGGACTGACAAAGATATGGTGTAGCAGTCGAATTGTTTTTTTTCGCCTCTTTGCAGGAAGTATTAAGTTCTACAATCCAATCAAGCACAATAGGGGCTTGCTGCAGGATTCTGTTTTGAACAACACTAGTATTTGTCATGTCTGAAGCTCCACCAAATACAAAGCTTCCATTTCGAGCAAAGAAAGCATAGCTGCAAGTCGACTGATTAGTAAATGAACGGCGGTTTTCCAAGCTAAAGAGCTTAATAGAGAACCCTTGCCAGCCATTTAACACAGACGTCTGACAGCAACCTGACCCCAAACAAGAACCTTTGGTCACCCCTTCTGAATTGCACAAAGCAATGCAACCACCCTTTTCATAGAGTAAATTCTCTCCAGAACCATCAATCAGTGCATACTCGTCACAGCCAATGACTGTGAGCTTGTTTGCTGTTGATACAGTAAAGGGAGAACCCCACATATCTAAGAACCCTGAAACCTCAGAGCTCACATTCCCCTGTGGATCGAAGCAACGTGAAGTTACCTCAGTATTCCGGATAATTATCTGGGTCTCGGTTATATCCAATATGTCTGTATACCTTCTAGAACCAAATGGTATCACAGGGATCACTTTAGGAGGGTTGTAAGAGGTGTTGCATATGATACCAAACCAGCCTTGAAGGAAACAATCGCTACCAATACCGAAGGGGTATGGGATGGTCAGGTTGCCGCATTTCTGCTGGCAACCGGGTTTGGTGGTGTTTGCGGCTGTAATCATGTTTTTTGGCGTTATTGAAGCGTTGGTGACAATCAAGGTGGTTGCACCCATTGAGAGCAAGAGGAAAATCCATGGAAGATGCATGTTTACAATTCTATAAGCTATTTTAGTCTAGATAATTTTAATATGGAGAAAAATATAAGTTAAAATTGGTAGGGGTTGGTGTAGCACATGAAGATTTTCAACATCATTAAGAGCCACCAAAGAATTAAATACTAAGAGGCAACACGGCTTGGGTACACCGCAGACTTCATAACATACGACCATGATATAGCTCACACCGTG